GTATTTCTATTTTGAGCATTCTGAGGAACCTCCATACTACTTTCCACAATGGTTGAACGAATTTACATTCCCACCAGCAGTGTAGGAGGGTTCCCCTTTCTCCACAACCTTGCCAACATTTGTTGTTGTCTGTCTTTTGGATGGTGGTGATCCTTACTGGGGTGAGGTGATATCTCATTGTGGTTTTAATTTGCATTTCTCTGATGATGAGTGATGTGGAGCATCTTTTCATGTGTCTGTTGGACATTTGAATTTCTTCTTTGGAGAACTGTCTGTTCAGCTCGCTTGCCCATGTTTTAATTGGATTGTTTGCTTTTTGTTTGTTAAGATACATGAGCTCTTTATATATTTCGGATGTCAAGCCTTTATCAGATCTGTCATTTATGAATATATTCTCCCATACTGTAGGGTACCTTTTTGTTCTATTGATGGTGTCCTTTGCTGTACAGAAGCTTTTCAGCTTGATATAGTCCCACTTGTTCATTTTTGCTTTTGTTTCCCTTGCCCAGGGAGATATGTTAATGAAGAAGTTGCTCATGTTTATGTCCAAGAGATTTTTGCCTGTATTTTTTCTAAAAGTTTTATGGTTTCATGACTTACATTCAGATCTTTGATCCATTTCTAATTTACTTTTGTGTATGGGGTTAGACAATGATCCTGTTTCATTCTCTTACATGTAGCTGTCCAGTTTTGCCAACACCAAGCTGTTGAAGAGGCTGTCATTTCCCCATTGTATGTCCATATATTAATTGACCATATATGTTTGGGTTAATGTCTAGAGACTCTATTCTGTTCTCTGTGGCTCTGTTTTTGTGCCAGTACCAAATTGTCTTGATTACTGAGGCTTCGTAGTAGAGCTTGAAATTGGGGAGTGAGATCCCCCCTACTTTATTCTTTCTTCTCAGGATTGATTTGGCTATTTGGGGTCTTTTGTGGTTCCATGTGAATTTTAGAACTATTTGTGCCAGTTCATTGAAGAATGCTGTTGGTATTTTGATATAGATTGCATTGAATCTGTAGATTGCTTTAGGCAGGATGGCCATTTTGACAATATTAATTCTTCCTATCCATGTGCATGGGATGTGTTTCCATTTGTTAGTGTCCTCTTTAATTTCTCTTAAGAGTGTCTTGTAGTTTTCAGGGGATAGGTCTTTTACTTCCTTGGTTAGGTTTCTTCCTAGGTATTTTATTCTTTTTGATGCTATTGTGAATGGAATTGTTTTCCTGATTTCTCTTTCTGTTAGTTCATTGTTAGTGTATAGGAAAGCCACAGATTTCTGTGTGTTCATTTTGTATCCTGCAACTTTGCTGAATTTCAATATTAGTTCTAGTAGTTTTGGAGTGGAGTCTTTCGGGTTTTTTATGTACAATATCATGTCATCTGCAAATAGTGACAGTTCAACTTTTTCTTTACCAATCTGGATTCCTTGTATTTCTTTGTTTTGTCTGATTACTGTGGCTAGCACCTCCAGTGTTATGTTGAAAAACAGTGGGGAGAGTGGGCATCCCTGTCTTGTTACCGATCTTAGAGGAAAAGCTTTCAGCTTCTTGCTGTTAAATATGATGTTGGCTGTGGGTTTGTCATATATGCTCTTTATTATGCTGAGGTACTTGCCCTCTATACCATTTTGTTGAGAGTTTTTATCATGAATGGATGTTGAATTTTGTCGAATGCTTTTTCAGCATCTATGGGGATGATTATGTGGTTTTTGTCCTTTTTCATGATGTGGTGGATGATGTTGACTGATTTTCGAATGTTGTACCATCTTTGCATCTCTGAGATGAATCCCACTTGGTCATGATGTATGATCCTTTTGATATATTTTTGAATTCAATTTGCTAATGTTTTGTTGAGTATTTTTGCATCTATGTTCACCAGGGATATTGGTCTGTAATTTTCTTTTTTGGTGGGGTCTTTGACTGGTTTTGGTATTAGGGTGATGCTGGCTTCATAGAATGAGTTTGGGAGTATTCCCTCCTCTTCTATTTTTTGGAAACTTTAAGGAGAATGGGTATTATGTCTTCTCTGTATTTCTGATAAAATTCTGAGGTAAATCCGTCTGCCCCAGGGGTTTTGCTATTGGGTAGTTTTTTGATTACTGCTTCAATTTCCTTGGTGGTAATTGGTCTGTTCAGATTTTCTGTTTCTTCCTTGGTTAGTCTTGGAAGGTTGTATTTTTCTAGGAAGTTGTCCATTTCTTCTAGGTTTTCCAGCTTGTTAGCATATAGGTTTTCATAGTATTCTCTAATAATTGTTTGTATTTCTGTGGGGTCTGTCGTGATTTTTCCTTTCTTGTTTCTGATTTTGTTGATGTATGTTAATTCTCTTTTTCACTTAATAAGTCTGGCTAGGGGCTTATCTATGTTGTTTATTTTCTCAAAGAACCAGCTCTTGGTTTCATTGATTTTTTTCTATTGTTTTATTCTTCTCAGTTTTATTTTATTTCTTCTCTGATCTTTATTATGTCCCTCCTTCTACTGACTTTAGGCCTCATTTGTTCTTCTTTTTCCAATTTCAATAATTGTGATGTTAGACTATTCATTCTTTTTTCTGTCTGTTCCTCAGACTTGTTCATTTCCTTGTTTTTGTTTTTTGATACCATTAATATACAATTACTTGGTTAGTAAACTCCCCCTATTATCAAGTCCCCCCTACATACCTCATTACAGTCAGTATCCTTCAGCATAGTAAGATGCTGCAGAATCACTACTTGTCTTCTCTGTGTTGTACTGCCTTCCCCGTGCCCTCCCCCTACATTATGTGTACTAATCATAATGCCCCTTTTTCCCCCTTATCCCTCCCTTCCCACCCATCCTTCCTAGTCCCTTTCCCTTTGGTAACTGTTAGTCCATTCTTGGGTTCTGTGAGTTTGCTGCTGTTTTGTTCCTTCAGTTTGACTGTAAGTTTTTAAAGTGTATTTAATTAGGTGTTAATAAAAGGCAATCTGTTACTTCTTGCCAGGCAGGTCATAGGTGTCTGACTTCCTTTGGGGCTTTGCTGTATGATAAAGGAAAAAGGGAAGAAGTCTACTTTCCTTTATTTTTAACTCTTTAGGGGTAAACATTTAGTGCAAATTATTTTTATGAAAAGTAGGACTTTAGGATTTGAATGAAAACCATATATTGCCTTTCTAGTGACAAAGTCAACCCGCAGCACTGTCAGAACATAAGTGGGCACAGCCAATCGCACGTTCTCCATTCCTCTCAGCTGATGGTTTCACTTTCTAATCCTAGACTGTAAACAGATCATTAAGATCTAGTGTGATGAGCATCCTGAGTGGGAAAGTATAGGTTCCTGTGGAAACAGGAGAGTCTGTTTCCATCAGGCTTGTTAGGGGGTGGGGGAGGGGTCTATAAGTTTTTGTGGAAGAAGTGACATTTTCAATAAAAGTGGAAATTGATTAGTCTTCAATTAGAGACCAGGGCCAGAATGGGAGAAGCAGCCCAGAACTGAAAAAGTGTGGCAGGATCTGAGATTTTAAATAAACTCATTGGTCTGGAGGTTGCAAAATATCATTCCATTTTGATTTCAATGTACAGCTCTTGTCACTTTCTGATTATTTATTGTTTGCTTATTTCTTGTCTGTTTTCCTACCCCCAGTCCCTCACTCCGAACAGGAGCATTAGCCTGTTTCCTCAGCACCTGGCACATATGACTGTCATCCTGTCCTGAGGGTCTGCCATGTGTCAGATCCTGTTCTCCTCCTTCACCACCACCCCTTCACCACCCCAACCTCCCCACTCTCTGCCCCCAACACCATCCAAAACACACAAGATTCAGCTTCTTTTTTAATGGAGGCTCAAATGCTTCCTCCTCTGTGAAACCTCCCCGGCCTCCTTACCCCACCCCTCCCCTCAGAGTTAATTACTTCTTTGAGAGTTTTCACAACTATTGATCCACCCTTTAAGCATCAAGTTAATTCTGCATAGTTAGTTTCTTGTTCCCTTGTTTCTCTTCCCCACTTCTCATTGTTTTAAATCATATTAAGTATTTTTGTCTCTGGAAGCCTCTCAACACTTCGGGCAGAGTTTTATAAATAAAACAGGGCTCAAAAATAATTTGAATAAATGAAATAGGGAGAGAAGGTCATGAACTCTTCTTCCGCTCTCCCCAAGTCCTCAGAGCAGTCTTTGAAAATCTGACTATATCACAGCCCTACTTAACCCTGTTGAAGGCCACTCTTTTTTCTCAGAAAGAATTCTAACTGCTATGTCCACTGGCTATGTCAGGACCCTGTGTGAATTTGCTTCCATCTATCTTTGCAGCCATGTCCCTCCCTACACCCTATCTAGTAAAACTTGGCTGCTTATGGTGACCGTACAACGAAAAATGCGCTGTACTTAATACTACCAGGCTTCAGCTACTCCGTCTGTCTGGAATGTCCTTTCCATTTTCCTTGCCTGGCTCAGGTTCTGGCTTGACCTTCTCAAGCAGGCTTTCCTTCTTTGAATACAGGTCGTATTAAGAACTTTAAAAAATACTAAGTCCAGAAAAGTTTATGGTGCTCACCTCCATTTATGTGATTAAAAATGAAAACATGCTAAACTGTAAAATATAATTCTTAAATGACACACAGCTTCTATGTATGCTAGATTCATAGTACCGTCAATTTATGATTTTCTCTCATTCATATTCTCTGCATGTACCCAATTGTGGACGCCCTAAGCAGTCGGTTGGTTCAAACTCTCTTTCTCGGTAACTTGAACAGATTGCCAGGTCTGCCTTTTGCACTTGGGTGTGAAACCCCGAGGTGGCGCGAACTCCATCTTTGCCCGTGGAGCGCCGGACACACAATCGGCTCCAGACTTATTTTCTGAGTTGCAGTAAAATCTCTTCCTTTGCATTTCTTCTTTAAGGAGCCTTTCCTTCCTTGCCCAGGAAATACAACTGGCTCGCACCTATCAAGGGCTGGGAAAAGGGTGAAATAACCTTTGGCCGTGAAAGTTAGGACAAGTAGAGTCTAAATTATCTGACTGAATGATAACATCAGCAGCTGAGATATCTCCCAAAAACCAGTGCGGTAGGCGGGGCCAGGGAGATTACTGACGCCGGAAGTCCTGTGGAGCACCTCCTCTTTAAGCCCCTCCCTCGGCAGTCGTCTAACTCAGCCTTGCAAGCTTCTCTGGCGGGCTCGGCTGAGATCTGCTTTTTCGGCGCTCGACTCGCTCGTGCTGCAACCGCCCTCGAAGGAGGGGCAAAGCTCAAGATGGCGGACAAAACGCCAGGCGGATCTCAGAAGGCCAGTTCAAAGGTAATTTCTTACAGGACTTCGTAAGTCAGTGAGTCTATCACTGTTGTCTGGGACCTGCAGACGCTTCTGACCAGCGGGAGGAGGTTGGGGTGGGAGTCCGCGTTCCGGTGGCGATGTAGGCCGGGGCGCCGACGCACCGTGGTGCGCAGGTTGAGAGGCCTGCAGTCTTCCCTTAGTCCCGGTCTGGATTGGGCTCGAGACTGGCGGGACCAGGGGTGGTGGCGCGAGTAGTTTGGCTCGCGCTTGCCACTGGAGTGAAATCAGGGGATTTTGGTTGAGGTCCCAAGCCGAAAGAACGCGCCTCGTACACCTGGCTTGTTGCGCTCTGAATCCGCCGGACGGCCCCTTGGAGAGGCGGGAATCGTTTCCCCATACTTCAGTGTCTGCCTCTTTCCGTGGTTTTTGGATCTCACGCGCTTCCGGCCTTCTATAGTTTCTCTCGTGCCCTCCAGGGAATAAATAACCTTTAGGGCCGCAAGTTGTGAGAGGCGGACCAGTAGTGGAGGACACAGGGTGCGAAGTGCAGAGGCGGGAGCGGCTCTGCTTTACGGGGCTCCATGTCCAAGGTTAATGCTAGGCTCTCTCTCCACGTGGTCTTACCTCACTTAAGAGGAAGTGCAAAATCGCGTCTTTTAAGGGTTCATTTTCCAGGACCCCGTGTCTCCTGTATCTCCATGTTGTGTGTGCCACTGAAAAGAGAACTTCCGTAGACTTGGAAGCCACGTAAGATTAGTATATATCTTTGGAGTGTGTTACAGGGAGCCGTGTGTACCTATTGTGAAACCACTGAACTGTAGAAGTAGGTTTAGCGCTAGGTAGGTTGTGGTTAACATCATTTCTTCATTGCCATCTTGGGTGAGTTTTTTTCTTTGAATTTCACATCTCGAACACGATATGACAAATAATAGGTACTACTCAAAGTAATTGTTAAGTTTTTGTTGCTGATGCAAGAAGTGTAAAAATTAAAGGTTCTAGGGACTCTTGTGTCTTAAGGAATATGTAAGATTGTAAGTCGGATATTAGGAGATGAAGTTTACGGTAGACGGGGCGAGCTTTGCGTTTACAGTTCTGAGAAACAACCCATTTTATACTGGCTTTCTCAACTTACAATAAATCTTAATCTTACGCCTTTTGGTGAGTGGTGCTCACAATTTTAGTTCGCTTTTAGGAATGGCTTTCCCAGACATCCTTTAGTTATATGGAAACTATGGTACAGGGCCAATTTTAGCTGGATGTACAGCATGTTTGCTGCTTCACTCCTTGATAATTTCCCCTGTACATTTCCCCTTGGCGAGGAGGGGAATAGTTGGATACATCCTTCTGCCCAGTTTCTCAGTAGACTTATAATAAAAACAGCTCTGTTTACTATTAGGGAGTTATTACTAAAGCTAGCTATATTCATAAATAATTCATGCATAAGCTTCACAATTTTTGTTTCTTATCAAAGTAGTATTTTAAGTATCTCCTATATGAGGCCTTGGATACATTGAAAACATTTTGAGGTATATGGTCAGGCTTCCTTCTGTGATAGCACTTCTCATGGCTTGTGAGTGTGTAGTTGGGTGTTCGCTATAAGTAAATTGTTGGATCTTCCAGTAAACTTTTTTTTTTTCTGTTTGAAATTTCTGTTGAATATATATATTTCTGTTTGAAATATATATATATATATATATTTTAAGGTATGATTGATATACACTCTTATGAAGGTTTCACATGAAAAAACAATATGGTTACTACATTTACCCATATTTTCAAGTCCCCACTCATACCCCAATGCAGTCACTGTACATCAGTGTAGTAAGATGCCACAGATCCACTATGTGCCTTCTCTGTGCTGCACATCTTCCAGTAGTCTTTAAAGTTTATTTTACTTTAGATTACCATTCGTTGATTCTGTTAAGTGATTTCCTTCTGATGTCTGTAAAAGGAATCAGAATATATCAGGACTCGTGATATTGACCTGATTTTCTCCACTAATATGGAGGCTGCATGATGTAGTGGGAAGATTACAGATTTTGATAAAAGAGATTTATATTCAGATCTTGACTTGGTAATTCATTATATTTGCGATGTTAAGGTGAATTGCTTAAACTCTCAGGCATCAATTTTTTTGTTTGAAATATGGATATAATCCCTTTTTCAAAGGGTTGATGTAAGAATTAAATGAGTTAATAAGGACTTAATCAGACTAAGTTCCTTTCCCTCCTACTTTTTGTTCTTCAAGGAAATAAAAAGATCTTACTTTAAAAAATGTCAGGATAAATTCTAATCCTGAGATTAAGAATCTAAGTCATCACCTGTCATGATAATTGCCTGGATTGCTGTTTTTATTTCTAACTCAAGTCCAGAATTTATTGAAGGGAGCATAAGATTTTAGCTAATACTACAGAATTTGGAATCTAGTGTTTGATATTTGTGGTTTGATTTCCCTTCCTCTGGGGGAGAGCGGATGAGTGACATTCTACAATACGGATGGAGTTGACAGATTCTTCTGTTTCATGCTCATTCTCTTCCTCTTTGGTAGTTAAATTCCTTTTGATAGGAGTAGGGATGCTTGTTAGTCATGTTCCTAGATATTAAGGAAAATGTTAATTTAAAAAATGTACAAAGGGTTGTAATGTACAGTATGGTGAGTATAGTTAACTAGTACTGCATTGCATATTTGAAAGTTGCTAAGAGATCTTAAAAGTTCTCATCACAAGAAAAAAATTCTGTTAACTATGGTGATGGATGTTAACTAGATTCATTTTGGTGGTCATTTCATAATATATACAAATATCGAATCATGTTGTAATCTGAAAGTAATATACTGTTGTATGTCAATTATACCTAAGTAAGAATAAATTTAAAAATATGCAATACACAGGATTTCTGCTATGGACAATGGCAGAATTAACTGATGTATTTTAATATGCAACAGATTAAATTAATCAACCTCTATAGTCTAGCTTTAAAAATTACATTGTATAGTCAAATGACTTAACCTTCATGTGTAGTTGTCCCCTATTGAAGAGACTCCATGTCCTGTGACTTTCTTTGTAATCTTTCTGTAATTTTCATTTTAAAGAATGGCAAGTGTAGAAATAAGTAAATGTTTTAGGAATAAACTAAATTTTCCAGTGCATTTATTCCTGTTTATCACCAGACTAACATATTGCTCTGAGAAAGGGATATTGGGGCCATGTGGTAGCTTTGATTTTGGGAGGAGGTCCAGTAATTGTTTGCTAAACATATTTCCTTAGAAGTTAATTTATAAAAAAAGTTAGTTTTGATTTTTAAGAGTTGTTTTGTTTGCTTGTTCAGCGAAGTGAGGATATGAAAAGAATGTGGTATTTTCTTTCCTTCTGCATCTCCTGCTGGTGATGTTGCTCACGTAATGGAATTGTGTGCCATTATTTCACTCTGTGACAGTGCTTATTTTTGCCATGTTGTCAAAAACTGGGTTAGAGAGGTAAATTAACAAGATAGAAAATTGTGCTGGCTTCCTTGGACGTCCATTGTGTTAAATTGGTTTGGGAAGTATTTTGATTGACTGCTGATTAATGTAAGTATTTCACTTGTAAGAAATGACGTAAATGAGGATCCAGTCAAGGCTTGTGATCCTTAGGCATTTGTTACTGCCTATATACACTTTTTTGGTGGTACCTGAAGATATGCAAGATTTAAATATCATTAAAAAACTCCAAACGAAACACAGACCTTGAAAACTAGGTTCTTCATGGTTTGCCGGTTTTATTTTAAACTGAATATTTATTATGATGTGGTTTTAGCCTTAGAGTACAAGGCAGTTAGTTTTATTGGGTGGAAGGTTTTGGTTTTGGTGGAGAGTGGAGTTAAGAACTTAAGTTTTGATTGGTGCTGTTTGGAAACGAGTATTTGCAGCACTGGTGCTTGAATAGACTGTTGATACGGTTTTAAAAAATTCTTAAAGTGAATTCTTAGAGTGAATTGATTGTTCTCTGAAAAAAATCCAGTTTTTATTTTCTTTTGGTTTTTATTCTGGAAGCTTTGTTTCTCCTGGAACGTAAACCTATGAAAGATACCGGTTTGCCTTACTGGCAAATGAGAGGAGGGCTCATTTGGTATGTGTGTTGAAGACTCCTGCCTCTCTACCTCCTTAAGAGCACCATTTTTGAAATAAAAATAAAACTTGCTACAGGAGACTAAAGTTGAAAGCATCAGTATTACAAATAATGTGCCTCTTACACCATTATTAAATAGCTTTTAACATTTTATTTCAGACCAGACATATGCTGAAGCAAATTTTTTAAAAGCAAGATGCATTTGCCACTAGCACTTGAGGCTATTTGGTACTGTTAGATAACTCTTCCTTGAAGAGTTAGATATTTTCATTAGGCCCTTCCCCAGTTTAGAGAAACTAACAACAGGACATTAAAAATGTATTTAAAACTCTTTATAGGTGGTCTTTTGGATGTACTTTTAAAGATTTTCAGGTTTGTTATTTTATTATACATAGTACGTGTCTCAGTGATCTTAATTTAAATTTTTATTTTGAGAGGTCAACTTTGGTTTTTCTTGGAAAGTGGTGTTAAGCTAGGTAGCAGCTACTTGTTAGTGAGTGGACAGCATGGTATATTAACAATGTGGAGTGTTTATTTTGTTGGGTAGGTACTTGTTGCAGTAGGTTCAGTCAACAAGTATATTGGGACTGTTACTTGCCAGATCTTGTGCTTGACTTTAAAGAAGAAAACATTAAAATAAGACCATACTCACTTTTGGAGAGCATGCTATCTAGTGGAAGAAGAGAGTCAACATGTAACAGTACAAAGGCAGAGTTATCAGAAATATCTAATATCTCTATAGTTTAGAGAAAGAAATGACAGTTGATTGGAGCATGGGAAGGGGAGGCTTCAAGAACAGAGGATTTGAATCCTTTCGAACAACGAGCAGAGTTTTGAAGGGTAGTGAAAGGGATATAAAAAAGAGATAGGTGCAGTACAGCACAGTGAAGACAAGTGATTCTATAGCATCTTATTACACTGATGGACAGTGACTGTAATGGGGGGAATCTAGTAACCACAGTGTTGCTCATGTAATTGTATATTAACGATACCAAAAAAAAAGAGATGGGTGAATTAAAGAAAAATGAATTGCTGGAAGTGGATTGATAAATGGCCTGGTTTAGCTAGTGCATTGGATGCTTGCAAAGGGAGTAAAAGGAGCTGAGATGGAAAGATAAGTTTGGGCTAAATTGTGTAGTAAATGAATGCTATAGAATAAAATTAGAGAGCCATGAAAATTTGAGGCAGGAAAGTCCTTTAGGAAACTATACAGATGAAGGAACTAGGCCCAAGGTTAAAAGCCTGCTACGTGCTAAAACCAGGAAATCTGATACCAGAACCTGTGCTCTTAACGGTTCACTACCTACAGATTATAAGTGATTGAGTTAGGATCTAGGGTCAGAAATAAAGTCAAGAGAAGAAGCTAGTTTGGGAGGAATTGTTAGATATATTAGATTTGAGGCGCTTGCAGACATTCAGGTGACGATGTCCTGGGGGTAGTTTGAGAACATGGGAACCCAGGAGAAGGGACCAAGGTTGAAGATAAAGAATTGGGAGTCATAACAAAAGTGTTAGGCTTCCTGCGGGAATTTGAAGAGTCAGGTGTGAGGTCTTTGAAATAAACTAGGGACAGCCAGGAAAAAAAAGTTTTTAGTCTTAGCCACCAAGGGCCATATGGTATAGTGTTGGCTTTACCTGTATCTCAGCAGCCATCAGAATGATCCTTTTTCCTTTTGCATTTCCTTACTGTCCTTTCCCACATCTGTACTATCTGCTTTTTCTACCTTGAGATAAATTTTCCTGTGTCTGCAGCTTTATTGCCTCAAACCTTCCATATTCTGCCTTTTCATTTTTTTCTTTTGGGTCTTCTCATTTGGATGAGGGATTATGGTGTAGACTTCAGAAGATCTTTTGGCATCATTAATTTGTTCTTCAGTTGAAAAGCAAAATGCCCAAACCCAAGTCAGGTAGTATGGTTAAGTTGCAGATTAAGAAGCAGTAGAGGCTCAGATTCTGAAGTAGTGTTATAGTCACTATTTACTTGTACCACTAGCGTTAGAAGTTGGTTATTCTGAAATGTTATTTACTATTTGCATTTTTCTAACTGTTCTTAAGCCTAATAAAGTTCCATTCTGAAGGCTGTATAGCCTTATAGCTGTGTATCAATGTAAACTGTCTCGTTTCCCATCTTAGGTTAATTGAAATCAGCTGATACATCTTCCTAGCCATGCTGTTATTTTTAATTCCTGGAGATGATGATTGGGATGTGGGGGCATCGAAGATTAAAAAACGATAGGCTAGCACTTGCTTAGCTGCTCTTGTATGCTTATTCTTCTTGGTGAACTTTAGATTTTTTGGCAGTCTCCTTTCCCCACTTGCAAAGATTTCTCTTTAGGATTTTTACCTGTTGAATGAAACTGCATTAAGTATGTAAATAAATTTGAGTATAGTTGACATTGTCTTAAAAAATGATTTTTCCTATCCAAGAACATGATGAGTCTTTTCAAAAGGCAACATGACTAAATACATCTATAAAATTTGTGTTTTTCTTCACACAGGTTGTGTACATTTCTTTAGTTTCTAGATGTCTTATTATATATTTTTGTTGCAATCATGATTAGGATATTAGGTTTGTTAACCTAGCTGATTAATAGTGGTATATTGGAAGGCATTTGAGTTTTTTTTCCCAGTCCATTCAGCCTCTTGACTGAACTTAACTTTATTTTCTAAGAAGAGTTATTTATTCTCTTTGGACTTTCTAATTTCTGTTTGCAAATGGTCATATTTCAAATTATTTTTCAAAGTCTGTTTCAGAGTTAAATTTAAGAACTAAAAAATTTCTTGCAAACCACCTTGTCTTTTAAGAAAGGTTAGCTGGGACAAGAAAGTGATTGAGGAGGGACACAGTAAAAGTTGGGGACAGAAAAAGATGGATAGAAAGAATGGAGATAAGAGGTATCTCAGTGCTTGTTTGTCCTGGGGTAATTTTGCCTAGCGCCCATTATAGTGGAGTTGAGAGGAATAAATTGATTCCATTTAAAAATCAGATCAGCTAGTCTTTTAGCCTTATGTTTAGATAAGATGAGTAAAAAATACCCTGTGGACTCATGTGAATCAATCTTAACTATATTTCTTTTCTGTATCATTTAATAATTCAATTTTCTCTTAAAAATATAGCATCTTCTGCATTTTATTTGAAATCTAGAACTGGGAATGAGAGTTGGTGAGATACTTGATCTCAGGATTCTTAATTTCACTTTTAACACTTAAATATAAGTAAAAATAAGGAAAATCTCGTAATACCTTGAAAAGTGAAAACGACCCAGTGACAGTTAAATTTGGGGGCTCCAACTAGATATTTCAGAAAGATGTCACATATTATTTAATTAATAGCCTTGCAAATTGACTTGTCTTTAGATGTATAGTGGAAAACCAAATATACTGTTGTCTGTTCAAGTTGACTGAACTCTTTGTGCAACAGTCACAACAGCTAGCATGCTGAAGTAGAAGCAGCCTTCTTAAAACAAGTGGCAAATGGTGGCCAACTGGGGAGTTGATAATAGGATTTTCTTGAACCGTTTCTGCAGTAGAGTTTGTACCTTTTAGTAGACATCAAGGCTTTATATAGATATTCTTGCTGTTAGAATCTGCTTCTATATGACTGGGTTAGGTTAGGAGAAAGGAGGGGAAGTTTCTTTGCTGTGTGGCAAGAGGTTGCTGCTGTGTCAGTGTTGTGGCAGTAAACTGTATCATTTTCACAAGAAGTCATAAAAATAGTGGTTAGGTTTCCAGTCTACAGTATAAAAAGATAACTATGCCTCAGATATATCCCAGTGTTATTTGTGTCATATTTAGAGAATATGCATTCTGACTTTTTGAGAATAGATTTGCATTTGTTTTGGATCACAACGTTTTTGTAAGTCAGAGATTGCCTGTGTTTGGTTTTATTAGCTAAAAAGAAACTGCTACAAGTTTGGAAAGATTAAGCCTATGTAACAGGAGAAACACTTGTTAGAGTAGTACATTTTCTGATCTTTTATATTGAGTTTTATTTTTAATACTTGCAGACCAGATCATCAGATGTTCATTCATCTGGATCGTCAGATGCACATGTGAGTAAAAAGGCAGTCTTTGTCTTTTTTCCTTAAAATGTAAATTCTCTTTGTATATATCCCTAGACTTACGATTTTGCTTGATAAAATAATATAATTATATTGTATGTGCTTATTTTCTTTCATCTTTTTTGCCAGATGCCTTCCCTTTTTTTTTTGTTCTCTTTGTATAAATTGGTTCCTTCAGACCATGTTAGAAACCTAGTATGTGTAGTCCTTATTTTTTTATTGTGCTTATAAAGTTATATACATACATAGTTTGTGCATTGACTGATTTCTCACTGCACACTACACCCATTGGAAATCCCTGCAAATCAACAGACATAGCTCTAGTCTAGTCTTTGTAATGGCATCATAATGTTCCATAGGGGGGAGGTTCATTTATTTATTGAGCTGTTTCTCTTTGATGGGCATGTATCTTCTGTTTAAAGCTTTTTGACATTGTGAATGGTATTGCTTTACATATGTTATTATAGCAGTGCTCATAGTGTGATCCTCAGACCCTTGATTTCTAGAATCTTTCAGGGGTCTGTGAATTCAGAACTACTTTGTAGTAATACCAGAACATCATTTGCCTTTTTCACTGTGTTGACATTTGTACTAATGGTGCAGAAACAATTGATAGGTAAACTGTTAGCACCTTAGCATGAATCAAGACCAAAGTGCTCTGGTCCTTGTATTCTTCCGTATTAGACACAGTGAAAATATGCTAGTTTCCCTTAGGAATGTTCCTGATGAAGCAATAAAAATTATTTGTATTAAATCTTGTCCTGTGGATAGGTCTTTTTATTATTCTACAGCATGAAATGGAAAATATAAGTTACTTAGTGCTTACCTAAGTGTAATGTTTGTCTTGAGGAAAAGGACTTGTGGGATTATTTAAATTGAGAAATGAAACTGGTCTTTTTTTCATGGAATATCATTTTTACTTGGAACAACTGCAGACAAGTATATTTAATCAGACTTGGGTGTTTGGCAGATATTTTCTTGAAAATGAAGGAAATGAACTTGTTACATCAAGGAAAACTATTTGTTACCCACATAAAAATTGAGCTGAATTCAAGTACAAGTTAGAATTTTTGTAATGTTTCTCTGTACTTAAGGACTTTTCTGATGAAATCAGTGTTGATATTAAGGGATGAGAGTTATGATAGTGTAGAGTGGAATTTGTCAGTATTTGGATTACATATGTTATTATAGCAGTGCTCATAGTGTGATCCTCAGACCCTTGATTTCTAGAATCTTTCAGGGGTCTGTGAATTCAGAACTACTTTGTAGTAATACCAGAACATCATTTGCCTTTTTCACTGTGTTGACATTTGTACTAATGGTGCAGAAACAATTGATAGGTAAACTGTTAGCACCTTAGCATGAATCAAGACCAAAGTGCTCTGGTCCTTGTATTCTTCCGTATTAGACACAGTGAAAATATGCTAGTTTCCCTTAGGAATGTTCCTGATGAAGCAATAAAAATTATTTGTATTAAATCTTGTCCTGTGGATAGGTCTTTTTATTATTCTACAGCATGAAATGGAAAATATAAGTTACTTAGTGCTTACCTAAGTGTAATGTTTGTCTTGAGGAAAAGGACTTGTGGGATTATTTAAATTGAGAAATGAAACTGGTCTTTTTTTCATGGAATATCATTTTTACTTGGAACAACTGCAGACAAGTATATTTAATCAGACTTGGGTGTTTGGCAGATATTTTCTTGAAAATGAAGGAAATGAACTTGTTACATCAAGGAAAACTATTTGTTACCCACATAAAAATTGAGCTGAATTCAAGTACAAGTTAGAATTTTTGTAATGTTTCTCTGTACTTAAGGACTTTTCTGATGAAATCAGTGTTGATATTAAGGGATGAGAGTTATGATAGTGTAGAGTGGAATTTGTCAGTATTTGGACATTTGGGTTATTCAGTACAACATATGTGATTTTTAAAAACTTGTTTTACTTCTCCTGAAGATGGATGCATCTGGACCCTCAGATAGTGATATACCAAGTCGGACACGACCTAAGAGCCCAAGAAAACATAATTATAGGAATGAGAGTACCCGGGAAAGCCTTTGTGATTCTCCTCATCAGAATCTCTCAAGAGTAAGTACTGATAAAGATAAGAAAGGAGGGTAGTTAATGATTTTAGTCTGTCCTTCATTGAATTTGGTGGTTGAATATCTTGGTTTTGTGTTTGTTGTTTCATCTTGTACTAGTTGAAAATAACATTAAAAAATTATATTTAGGTTAATGATAAACTCAAATGCATCAAGAAAATGTTTTTTAGCTCATATGTAAGATACACTTCAGTACAAAATTTTAATTTTACAAAAACAAGCAGTGTTTTGAATGTAAAATAGTTAATGGTCAGATTTATCATTCCTCACTTATGCCAAGTTTTTACTGAACTGAGTACCAAATGCTAGTCACTGGAAATACACAGATGAGTAAAATACAGTTCTTGCTCTCAGCACTCAGTCTTGACCTCGGAGGCAAATGAGCAGGTGCTGTTCATTCTGGTTAGTGCAGTGCCCCGGGCAATGTGAGAACCCAGCGAAGGAACTGCTTTACTGCGTGTGTCTGCAAAGTGTTCTTATGTCTTTTAGTCTTTTATCTCAAATAATGTTTTCTTGTGATTAAATTTGGAAAATGTAACAGTTATCACCAGCCAGTATTAACATTGATAACACTATTTTTTATGTTTAATATTTTCAAGCATCAGTACATTTTTACTTTGCTGAGATCCATTTTATAGGAACACAAAAATACTGTTTTCAGTTCTAATTTTTCTATTTTTGGCAAAAAATTCTATAAACTTTTTAATGGGTGATTGTATTTCTTTGAGTTAGCATTTCATAATTTTCTTAATCATTTCTCTCATGTGTCTAAGTTTACCTCTTAGGGTATAAATAAAATTTGAGCAGAAAAGTTTTGTGAAATTATGTTTTTCATTGAACTTATATGTAATTTTACCATTTACTTAAATTTTTGAAGTTTAAACCAAAGATGCTGAGTGATACAAAATATAATTTTCTTTCTTCTTTGGGGGAAAAAAATTTACTTGGACTGCATTCCTGAAATCCAGTGTTGACTTCTGGGTTATAAACTGCTTTACTTTTTCAAAGGAAATTTAATGTAACTTTAAAAGAGTTTGCATCAATATTACTTTTCCATTCTGCATCTCTCAAGGGCAAATAACCAGGGGGTTGATAAAGTCTAATTTTGTAATTGGTTAACTTCTTTTTTTGGTAGACAAGAGAAAAACCTTCAGATTTCAATTGCAGAGTAATATTCGAGGATGTATTTAATAAACATTACTCTTTTAAGTTTATGAATCAAAATCTAACATTCAAATGCAACAACTACAGGTCTACAGATGATTTATTCAAGCTGTATTTCACCCAGAAATTGCTTCTAAGATACATAAATGAAAACTTCTTTAAAATACTATATTCTCATATATAAAATTGACTTCTGTATTTTACTTCTGTTGAAACCTAAAATACTGTACTTGATATATTCCCAGCAAAGAAAATATGATTATTATTTTCGTAGACATCAGCATTGTTTATGAAGAAAGAGGTAAATAGAAAGTGATGAGATTTGTGGTACCTGGAATGGGAGATCTAGATGCTGTTTAAATCCCTGCTATTGAACCGTGGAAATGGATGTTTCCTTCTTCTGGTTTGAATGTTTTCTATAACTGCTTTTGCTCAGAACCATCTGTACTTTCCCTCTTCAAGGGCTTTTATTCTTGCTGCCAAAAAGTAGGTTGAAAGAGTTCTAAGCCTTCACATCTCTTTATTTTTACCCTTTGTAAAAAAAAAAAAATGGCTTTTGTTATGTTATTGTCCTTGAGCTAGCAAATGGTGACATTCTTTAAGGAGTATTTCAGAATCAAGCCCAGGGTAAGCCACCCGATGCTTAATGTAGCCTCAGCTTTTCTTTACAGTGAAATTAAAAAGATGTATCATTGTTGTGAAGACTTGTTTACTAGTTGAGTGTATCAGTTGAGTTGTAGACAGCATAAGAATATGTATGTTAAGGTGTGCTTTTCTTTCTTTTCATAGCCTTTTCTAGAAAACAAACTTAAAGCATTCAGTATTGGAAAAATGAGTACAGCTAAGCGAACTTTAAGTAAGAAAGAGCAAGAAGAATTAAAGAAAAAGGTAATGTTTAAAATGTATTTTGAGTAATCTTTGAAAATTAATGTGTCTAAGAGGGCCGTTAAGTGTATGGGTAGAAGAAAAATGTTTTTCAAAGGTTTTGACCTCCAGGGTATTCTCAGCTCTCACCCCCACAATCAAGTCTATAACACAAGTATCTTCAGAGGAGTTCAGTTTTTATCTCTGTCTCTTCCACCATTTTGTCTCTTCTGTGTAGCAACTTTGGTTATTTTCTGGTCTGTTCTTTTGTGTATGTAGATATGTGCAAATATGTATTGTACCCATTCCGTTATGGTAGATAAACAATAACATGCTACATAGTACACTTTCTCTTTACCTTGCCTTTTTTTCACTTAAGGTTATATCTCAGAGATTACTGCTAATATATTGATACACACCTTGTTTTTCTTCAAAAATTTTTTTTCAGTCCTGCATAGATACACAATAATTTATTTACTAAAATCCTATTGAGGGCATTTGTGATTTGGTCTTCTGCCCATTACAAATAATGCTGTTATGGATAGTATTTTGCATATAGTTTTTTTAGTGTACCTTTGAGGTATAGTCCTATAAGTGAGATTACTGGGTTGAATGGTAAATGCGTAAATGTAGCTCTGCCAGATACAAATTGCTCTCTCTTAAGGGCAGAGCCATTTTGCATCCCTCTCAGCACTGTGTGAAAACTTGTTTTCCCAATAGCCTTGCCAACAGAGAATGTTGCCCAAATTTCACCAGTCTGCTAGGGGAAAATGGTATCTCAGTGTAAATTGACATTTCACTTACTTACAAGATTGAGCAGCTTTTCTTGTGTTTGTTTCTGTGAGCTGTCTGCTCATATTGAAACCAACCTTTGTATAAATTAGTAGGTTATCTCTTATTTTTAGAAACTTTATATATTAAGTATATTAATACTTTGTGACACAAGGTGCAGTGTTTTCTACCAGTTCTCCAATTGTCTCTGGAATGCTTCTGGTGTTTTTTCCCATGCAGAAACTATTTATTGTTATGTAATCAGATTTATCAGTTTTTGATTTCTGGTTTTTCAGTCAAGTTTTTCCCACTTATAGCTTATAAAAGAAGCTCTTCATGTTTTCTCTAATCCTTACATGGTTTCATTTTTTTTTTAATTAAATGAATCATTTATAATTTTTCCTGGTATATGATGTAAAGAATTGGTTCACTTTTATCTTTTTTTCCAAATAGCTACCAAGTTTTCTCAACATCACTCATTGAAAAGTCTACCTGTTCAGTGTTTGAGATGCTCCTTTTATTGAACACTAAATTTTCACATGCAAATTGATTTTTTTCTGTTCCATTGGCATTTCTATTCATAAGTGTTTTGGAGACATTTAGAATTATAATTGAAATTATCAAGGTTCTTCTGAGCTTTTATCCTGTAAAGCCATCTGTCTGGAGACAATGCTCCTTCAACATCCAATACTCATGTCTTTGGTGATTTGTAAGGGAGATCTTTTTTTTTTTCCTAATTTTTTATTAAGGTATTATATACACTCTTATGAAGGTTTCACTAAGAGAAGTCTTTATATTTACTGAATTAAATCATTATGCCTTGGAAATATCATAAAATAGAAAAATGTATTTTTTAATCCAGTTGTCATACAGCTTAACCCTTGAATTTTTGACCCTAAACAAATTTACTTAATGGGTCCTTTTCTGGTTCCACAAATTGCCAGTAGAGCAGAGTTCCTAGTTAGGATTAGATATTACTACCTATTCAAGCTGCTTAACCTGTTTTCCTCAGTGAAGGGAGATGTTTCATTTATATTATTCCTTGATGAGTTTCACCCTATGTACAACAATTTTTATATTAAGTGATATTAACTAATTTTCATGTGTATTTAGGAGGATGAAAAGGCAGCTGCTGAGATTTATGAGGAATTTCTTGCTGCTTTTGAAGGAAGTGATGGTAATAAAGTGAAAACATTTGTGCGTGGAGGTGTTGTTAATGCAGCTAAGGGTAAGTGTGAATATTATAGTCCTTGAACAAGTCTTGGTTAAGTGACTGCAGATAATTATCAAAGAAATTTGGTTACTGTTGAATTTCATGTTTTTTTTCCTATCAGCACCCTCTAGTGGTGATATCAATTAGCAAAATAAATGGCCATGTGAATTAATGAGAAATTAGAGGCAGATAAGTTTGAAAAATATTTAATTCAAGTTTTTAAGACAGCAGAGCATTTTGTAAAGATTTTAATATGTTGCATAGTTCTATAAATGATTAAATTCATGTTTTTGAAAGGGCAGTAATACTTTGAATTTAACCCCATATTTTGTTAGTAGTGATAAATCTTAGTACCAAAACCATTTTACTAATTTTTATTTGTTTTTAAGTAAAAATAATGAGTAAAGAAAACCCAAGTAATGTAAAATTAGTTTTAAAATTGAGTATTTTAAATTTCAGAAGAACACGAAACAGATGAAAAAAGAGGTAAAATCTATAAGCCATCTTCAAGATTTGCGGATCAAAAAAATCCTCCAAATCAGTCATCCAATGAAAGACCACCATCTCTTCTTGTGATAGAAACCAAAAAACCAGTAAGTCATACTTAAATCAGTGACCATTTATGTTCAGAGGTGATGCTGCCAATGATACTTAGAGTAGTTAATCAGGAATAAGTAAAGTAATTTTAAGAGTAGATGTTGAGTTTTGATGCTTAATCTTAAATGAGAGATAATAAATTAGGTGAGACTTGTAGATGATACTTCTTTTGTGTTCTTTGAGCAGTGAACATACATACACTTGTTGCTATACTCATAACATTGTAAGTAAAAAGTTGACTATTTTAGATGTAAATGTAAACTAATGAATTCTCTTTTAAACAATTCCACACTGAGGTATTTAAATCGTATCAGCAACTATAGTCTTGTTACCTTGAAAGACTGTATGTACTCAGCAAAGTGTCTGGGAACTACAACATTTTTTGAATTTATTTGGAGTTGCCCTTCAGAATTAGTGAAACTTTTAAATACTCTCTATGTTAGAAAATTTTTATTTTTGGAATGTTGGGGTTTAAATGGGAGGTGGTAAATGTGGTTCATGTCATTTGGAGCCAGATTTGGTGGAGAAACATGACTGTATTGAATGAAACTGACATTTCTTGTGTGACTTTAAAAATAGCTCAGAAAGCAATTTAAAAAGTTTGATTGAGATACACTGTAATATTCACCCTTTGAAAGGTTATAATTAAGTGGTGTTTTTGGGGGGTGGGGGTGGGGGAGTGTCTATTACAATTATGCAACAATCACTAATCTCTAATTTCAGAACATTTTTATTACCTTGAAAGAAACTTATACCTGTTATTGGTCATCCACCAACCCGTGACAACCTCTTATCTACTTTCTATTTCTTTGGATTTGCCTGCTCTGGACGTTGTGTGCATATGAAATCATACATGTGTCCTTTGTATCTTGCTTTTTACTGTTTCAGAGTTCATCTGTGCTGTGGCACATACCAGTACCACATTCGTTTTTATGGTTGAATAATAATTCATTTTCTCGGTATACCACTTTACTGTTTATCCATTTGTGTCTTGATGGACATTTGGGTTGTTTCCACCTTTTGGCTGTTACACAAGTAATGCTGCTGTAAACATTCTTTTTTTCTTTTTTTTCTTTTGGTATCGTTAATGTACAATTACTGAGCAACATTATGGTTACTAGACTCCCCCTATTATCAAGTCCCCACCACATATCCCATTACAGTCACTGTCCATTGGCGTAGTAAGATGCTATAGAGTCACTACTTGTCTTCTCTGTGCTATACTGCCTTCCCGTGTCCCCCCGTGCTACATTATGTGTGCTAATCATAATGCCTCCTTTTCCCCCTTCTCCCTCCCCTCCCACTTATCGTCCTAGTCCCTTTCCCTTTGGTAACTCTTAGTCCATTCTTGGGTTCTATGAGTCTGCTGCTGTTTTGTTCCTTCAGTTTTTTCTTTATTCTTATACTCCACAGATGAGTGAAATCATTTGTTACTTGTCTTTATCCTCCTGGCTTATTTCAATGACATACCCTCTGGCTCAATCCATGTTGTTGCAAATGGTAGAATTTTGTTTTCTGCTTATGGCTGAATAATATTCCATTGTGTATATGTACCACATCTTTATCCATTCATCTACTGATGAACACTTAGGTTGCTTCCATTTCTTAGCTGTTGTATATAGTGCTGCGATAAACATAGGGGTACATATGTCTTTTTCAAACTGGGTTTCTGCATTCTTAGGGTAAATTCCTAGGAGTAGAATTCCTGGGTCAAATGGTATTTCTATTTTGAGTTCCTTGAGGAACCTCCATACTGCTTTCCACAGTGGTTGAACTAATTTACATTCCCACCAGCAGTGTAGGAGGGTTCTCCTTTGTCCACATCCTCACCACCATTTGTTGTTGTTTGTCTTTTGGATGGTGGCAATCCTTACTGGTGTGAGGTGATATCTCATTGTGGTTTTAATTTGCATTTCTCTGATGATTAGCCATGTGGAGCATCTTTTCATGTGCCTGTTGGCCATCTGAATTTCTTCTTTGGAGAAGTGGCTATTTAGATCGTCTGCCCATTTTTTAATTGGATTATTTGCTTTTTGTTTGTTGAGGTGCGTGAGCTCTTTATATATTTTGGATGTCAACCGTTTATCGGATATGTCATTTATGAATATATTCTACCATACAGTAGGATGTCTTTCTGTTCTGCTGATGGTGTCCTTTGCTGTACAGAAGCTTTTTTGTTTGATATAGTTATACTTGTTCATTTTTGCTTTTGTTTCCTTTGCCCGGGGAGATATGTTCATGAAGAAGTTGCTAATGTTTATGTCCAGGAGATTTTTGCCTATGTTTTTTTCTAAGAGTTTTATGGTTTCATTACTTACATTCAGGTCTTTGATCCATTTTGAATTTACTTTTGTGTATGGGGTTAGACAATAATCCGGTTTCATTCTCTTACTTGTGGCCATCCAGTTTTGCCAGCACCAGCTGTTGAAGAGGCTGTCATTTCCCCATTGTATATCCATGGTTCCTTTTTCATATATTAATTGACCATGTGTTCTTGGGTTTATATCTGGGCTCTCTGTTCTGTTCCACTGGTCTTTGGGTCTGTTCTTGTGCCAGCACCAAATTGTCTTGATTACTGTGGCTTTGTAGTAGAGCTTGAAATCAGGGAGTGTAATTCCACCTGCTTTATTCTTCCTTCTCAGGACTGCTTTGGCTATTCGGGGTCTTTTGTGGTTCCATATGAATTTTAGAACTATTTGATCTAGTTCATTGAAGAATACTGTTGGTATTTTGATAGGGATTGCATTGAGCCTGTAGACTGCTTTAGGCAGGATGGCCATTTTGACAATATTAATTCTACCTATCCATGAGCACAGGATGTGTTTCCATTTATTGGTTTCTTCTTTAATTTCTCTCATGAGTGTCTTGTAGTTTTCAGAGTATAGGTCTTTCACCTCCTTGGTTAGGTTTATTCTTAGGTATTTTATTCTTTTTGATGCAATTGTGAATTCAGTTGTTTTCCTGATTTCTCTTTCTGCTAGTTCATTGTTAGTATATAGGAATTCCACAGATTTCTCTGTATTGATTTTGAATCCGCAACTTTGCTGAATTCAGATATTAGATCTAGTATTTTTGGAGTGGATTTTTTAGGGTTTTTTATGTACACTATCATGTCATCTGCAAACAGGGACAGTTCGACTTCTTCCTTGCCAATCTGGATACCTTTTATTTCTTTGTGTTGTCTGATTGCTGTGGCTACGACCTCCAGAACTATGTTGAATCAAAGTGGGAAGTGTAGGCATCCTTGTTTTGTTCCCAATCTTAAAGGAGAAAAGCTTTCAGCTTTTCGCTGTTAAGTATAATTTTGGTTGTGGGTTTGTCATATATGGCCTTTATTATGTTGAGGTACGTGCCCTATATACCCATTTTGTTGAGAGTTTTTAATCATGAATTGGATGTTGAATTTTGTTGAATGCTTTTTCACCATCTATGGAGATGGTCATGTGGTTTTTGTCCTTCTTTTGTTGATGTGGTGGATGATGTTCATGGATTTTCGAATGTTGTTCCCTCCTTTCATCCCTGGCATGAATTCCACTTGATCATAATGGATGATCTTTTTGATGTATTTTTTAATTCAGTTTGCTAATATTTTGTTGAGTGTGTTTGCATCTATGTTCATCAGAGATACTGGTCTGTAATTTTCTTTTTTTGTGGTGTCTTTGCCTGGTTTTTGTATTAGAGTGATGCTGGCCTCATAGAATGAGTTTGGGAGTATTCCCTCCTCTTCTCCATTTTGGAAAACTTTGAGGAGGATGGGTATTAGGTCTTGACTAAATGTTTGATAAAATTCAGCAGTGAAAGCCATCTCGTGCAAGGGTTTTATTCTTAGGTAGTTTTTTGATTACCAATTCAATTTCTTTGGTCTATTCATATTTTCTGTTTCTTTCTGAGTCAGCCTTGGAAGGTTATATTTTTCTAGAAAGTTTTCCATTTCTTCTAGATTATCCAGTTTGTTACCATATAATTTTTCATAGTGTTCTCTAATAATTCTTTGTATTTCTGTGCTGTCCATAGTGATTTTTCCTTTCTCGTTTCTGTTTCTGTTTATGTGTGTAAACTCTTTTTTTCTTGATAAATCTGGCTAGGGGTTTATCTATTTTGTTTATTTTCTTGAAGACCCAGCTCCTGCTTTCATTGATTCTTTCTATTGTATTCTTCTCAATTTTATTTATTTCTGCTTTAATCTTTATTGTGTCCCTCCTTCTACTGACTTTGGGCCCCATTTGTTCTTCCTTTTCTAGTTTCGTTAATTGTGAGTTGAAACTGTTCATGTGGGATTGGTCTTCTTTCCTGAGGTAGGCGTGTATTGCAATATATTTCCCTCTTAGCTCGGCCTTTGCTGCGTCCCACAGATTTTGTGGTATTGAATTATTGTTGTCCATATATTGCTTGATCTCTGTTTTTATTTGGTTATTGATCCATTGATTATATAGGAGCATGTCATTAAGCCTCCATGTGTTTGTGGGTTTTTTTGTTTTCTTTGTGTAATTTATTTCTAGTTTCATACCTTTGTGATCTCAGAAACTGGTTGGTACAATTTCAGTCTTTTTGAATTTACTGAGGCTGTTTTTGTGGCCTAGCATATGATCTATTCTTGAAAGTGTTTCATGTGTACTTGAGAAGAATGTATATCCTTTTGCGTTTGGATGGAGTGTTCTGTAGATGTCCGATAGGTCCGTCTGTTCTAATATGTAGTTCAGTGCCTCTGTCTCTTTACTTATTTTCTGTCTGGTTAATCTGTTCTTTGGAGTGAGTGGTGTTTTGAAGTCTCTTAAAATGAATGCATTGCATTCTATTTCCCCTTTTAATTCTGTTAGTATTTGTTTCACATATGTAGGTGATCCTGTATTGGGTACATAGATATTTATAATAGTTATATCCTCTTGTTGGACTGACCCTTTTATCATTATGTAATGTCCTTCTTTGTCTCTTGTTACTTTCTTTGTTTAGAAGTCTATTTTGTCTGATACAAGTACTACAACTCCTGCTTTTTTTCCCTGTTAGTTGTATGAAATAAGTTTTTCCATCCTTTTACTTTCAGTCTGTGTATGTCTTTGGGTTTGAAGTGAGTTTCTTGTAGGCAGCGTATAGATGGGTCCTGTTTTTTTATCCATTCAGTGACTGTATCTTTTGATTGGTATATTCAGACCATTTCTGTTTGGGGTGATTATTGATAGGTATGTACTTACTGCCATTGGAGGCTTTAGATTCGTCGTTACCAAAGTTTCAGGGGTAATTCCCTTACTATCTAACAGTCTAATTTAACTCAGTTTGTATGCTATTAAAATACAACCTAAAGGTTATTATTTTTTTCTTCCTCCTCCATTCTTTATATGTTAGGTATCATTTTCTGTATTCTTTATCTATCCTCTTATTGACTTTGGGAGTAGTTGATTTGATATTGCATTTGCTTAGAAATGAATTGTTCTACTTTGTTGTGGTTTTATTTACCCTGGTGACATCTATTTAGCCTTACAAATACTTCCATCTATAGCAGTCCCTCCAAAATGCACTGTAGAGGTGGTTTTTGGGAGGTAAATTCTCTCAGATTTTGCTTATCTGAAAATTATTTAATTCCTGCTTCAAATTTAAATGATAACCTTGCCAGGTAGAGTATTCTTGGTTCAAGGCCCTTCTGCTTCATTGCATTAAATACATCATGCCACTCCTTTCTGGCCTGTAAGGTTTCTGTTGAGAAGTCTGATGATAGCCTGATGGGTTTTCCTTTGTATGTGATCTTTTTTCTCTCTCTAGCTGCTTTTAACAGTCTGTCTTTATCCTTGATCTTTGCCATTTTAATTATTATATGTCTTGATGTTGTCTTCCTTGGGTCCCTTGTGTTGGGAGATCTGTGCACCTCCATGGTTTGAGAGACTGTCTTCTTCCCAGATTAGGGAAGTTTTCAGCAATTACCTCCTCAAGGACACTTTCTATCCCTTTTTTTCTCTCTTCTTGTGGTACCCCTATAATACAAATATTGTTCCTTTTAGATTGATCACACAGTTCTCTCAATATTCTTCCATTCTTAGAGATTCTCTTTTCTCTCTGTGCCTCAGCTTCTTTGTATTCCTCTTTTCTAATTTCAATTCCAATTACCGTCTCTTCTACTACATCTAATCTGCTTTTAAATCCCTCCACTGTATGTTTCATTTCAGATACGGAATTTCCTAATGATTGAATCTCCATCTTACATTCATTCCTGAGTTCTTGAATATTTTTTTGTACCTCCACGAGCATGTTTATGATTTTTATTTTGAACTCTCTTTCAGGCAGATTGGTGAGTTCAGCTTTATTTGGCTCTTTTTCTGGGGTTTGAGATTTTGGTCTGAACCAGGTTCTTTTGACGTTTCTTATTTCTATGTGTTGCCCTCTAGTGCCCAGAGGCTCCAGTCTGTGGAGCTGCTCAGCCTCTAGAGTGAGGTTGGGGGTCATAGGGGAGCAGAGCTGATGCCTGGGGGGAGGAAAGATCTGTTTCCTGATTCCCGTCTGCAGTGCCCGTCTCCAGTATCACAGCCAGTGGGCCAAGTGTACAGGTGTAACTCTCTGCGCTTTGCATCTAGCTTTTGTAGGTGGGGCTTCTCTCTGACTGGCGTCATGCCAGCGCAGTGACTGCGGTTTGAGAGCTGGTGCTGTCAGGCCAGGAGGAAGGTGCAGCAGGCTGCGTGTCACAGTGGGGGGCCTTGGGGCTGAATAGGCAGCCAGGGGGATGGAGTGCCTGAAGGTCCTCAAATTTCCCAAAACGCTGGGCAGAGCGTGCCCAGACAACCATGTCCAGCTCTCCCCTCTCCTGTGCAGCAAGCTCTGTGCAAACTCCACCCCTTCAGCAGCCCTCTCGCTGCTAGGAAGCCTCTCATACTGCCTGCTTTTCTCTTGTCCCAGAGTGGCCATCTGTGGATCCCGTTGTCCACAAAAGGCCGGAATCTCAGTCTCTCAAGCACTCTGCCTGTCCCAGCTTCCCATCCTCCAGAGCAAAAACAATGTAGGTTTCCTCTCACAAAGCGGACCTCCAGGGCTGGGTGTTCAGCAGTCCCAGGCTTCCACCCCATCCCTGCTCCATTTCTCTTCCTCCCACCTGTGAGCTGTGGTGGGGGAAGGGCTTGGGTCCCTCCGGATCAAGGCTTTGGTACGTTACCCTGTTTTGTGAGGTCTGCTCTGTTTGCCAGGTCTGTATGCATTCTGGTTTAGCCTTCTTTCCTGTTGCTGTTTTAGGGTTAGTTGTATTAATTAACTATATTTTTGTACTATTTGTGGTTTTGGGAGGAATTCTCTGTCTCACCTCTCATGCATCTTGAATCTCTCGCTTCTGTAAACATTCTTGCCTAGGCTTTTGTGTGGACTCTTAAATATACCTAAGAGTGGAGTTGTTGGGTCATAATATATTAACTATTGATTTAGCTTTTGAGAAACTACCAAACTATTTCCCAGAGTATCTGTACCAGTTTACAGGCCCATCAAGCAGTGTACGAGTAGTAGTTTTTCTACATCTTCATCAATACTTGTTAAAAATTATCTGTTTTTAAAGTTAATTATAGTTATCTCAGTGGGTATGAAGTAGTACCTAATTGTGGTTTTATCTTTCCTAATGATTTTGAGCATATTTTTATGTGTTTATGATCCATTTATAGTTTTCCATGGAGAAATGTCTCTTCAGATCCTTGGCCCATTTTTTAACTGTTTTTTTTTTCTTTTATTGACTTGTGTGACACCTTCTGGAGTCAAGTCACTTATCAGCTATATGATTTGTAAATGTTTTCTCCCATTCTGTGGAGTGTCTTTGTACTTGATTGTGTCCTTTGAAGCACAAAAAGGTTTTAATTTCAATGAAGTTTGGTTTATCGTTTTCTCCTTTTGTTGCTTGTGTTTTTGATGTCATATCTAAGAAACTATGCCTAATTCGTAGTCATGAAGATTTATTCCTGTTTTTCTCTTTTATATTTTTAGTTCTTAATATTTAGTAGGTCTATGAGCCATTTGAGTTAAGTTTTGTGTATGATATGAAGTGGAAGTTCCAACTTCACTTTTTCTTCTATGTATGGATGTTCAGTTGTCCTAGCACCATTTGTTTAAAAGACTGTTCTCTTCCCCATTGAATTATTTTGGTGCTTTTAAGGAGGGAGTCCAATAGCAGTTTTGGAAGCAGTTTTAAAACAGGAATTCTAAAGGTGGTACTGTTTCAGTAATTCGTATCTTCCTAAAGTGATTGTTTTGAATAGTGCTTATCTTTGGTAGTTGTTCATGGCAGTTAGTGTACATGGCAATTCAGTGACTTTATGTCCATTAATTTGGCTCCCAACAATATTCAGGCTTAAGTATCACAGGCTTTTGGAGGATAAAGTTAGTGGCTCCTTTAAGACTACCTCTTGTCATTTTATTTAATTGATGTAATAATTTAATTGTTAAACTCCTAGTTTGAGAGAACAGGAAGGGAAGTTCATTATAACAAACATTCTTTTTAATTTAAATAATAACACAATAGGCACTAAAATAAAAATTACTTAATATGATCTGATTATTGAACCATTAGTTCTGTTTAACCTTGTTTTGTTTGAAGTATAACTTGTCATATCCTTTACAGCCTCTTAAGAAAGGGGAGAAAGAAAAGAAAAAAAGCAATTTGGAACTCTTCAAAGAAGAATTGAAACAGTAAGTTTTATAGTGCTGAGAGTGGCTATCCTAAAGGGTACTGAGATGATAGTTCCAGATGTAGGTGTGCAGAATGTCGTGTACCAATAAGTTATTACTAACTGGTTTACCAGGTTGTTTTAGATATTACAGTATTTTGTGGGGTATGTTGGAAGATGAAGTAGCATTTCATCTAGCATCTAGGTTGCTTGCATTATATGGGTGCAGTTCAGTTTGGAGTCTTGTTTGCAGTGGAAACAGTATAGTCACTGAGGTAGGGGTGAGTAGTAGTGGAACTTAGCCAGTGAAGTCAGTGGTTTTAATGCTGAATTTCCTCCTCACATTAAAAGTGGGCTTTGTATTCCATTGCTTGTATAGTATATCAGAAATTTGCTCATGACTCTATTACAGCTGAAAGACTCTAATCTTGGTTATCAGTATTGGTATTCAGTTACTCATAAATATTTTAAGTTATTTGAAGATAGTACCTGGATAAGTTTTATTAGTAACAAATTTTGGCTTATTATTAGTGATTGTAAATATTTTCAACAGAATTCAAGAAGAGCGTGATGAGAGACATAAAACAAAAGGCAGGTTAAGTCGATTTGAGCCGCCTCAGTCAGATTCTGATGGTCAGCGTCGTTCTAGTAAGTGACATTTATTTTAATGTTTTTGTTTGTGATTAACTATTCTAAAGACTAAAAATTGTTTTCTTTTCTCCCTTTTAAAGTGGATGCGCCTTCAAGAAGAAATAGATCATCTGGTGGTAATACAGTTTTTTGCTCTTTTTAATTAATAGAAACTATAAAATTTTGCAGGTTATAATTTTTTTTCTTGTCTTAGTTCTTGATGATTATGCACCTGGCTCACATGATGTTGGAGATCCAAGTACTACTAATTTATACCTTGGAAACATAAACCCACAGGTATTGTAAATAAAGTAAGATGAAATTTGGCTCATAATGCTTTATACTTTTGAAAGAAAACTGCTTTCTCAATAAAAATAAAAAGTCAAAGATCTGATGTAAGTAAACTGGATGGAACTAGGTAGTCTCTAAAATTGTGAAGTTGAGCCTTACTGGTAAGGTTAGAATCTTACTAGAATTTTTAAGATCCTGTCTCCGCTTTCTGTCTGAACTATACTCTGAATTTGGAATGTATTATTAGGTGCTGATTTTATGATTTTTCAAATCAGGACATGACCAGCGCTAGGCAATTGGCTTTTGAGATTACCCCTTTCCAATGCATAGCTTGCTTCCTTATGGATCTCCTTTTTTTTTTTCCCTCTTCATAAGAGCAAACCAGTGCTTTGATTTTTGTCTTTTATATTTTAATTCTTCTCCCTGTTTCAGTCTTAATTTGTGTTATAGGGAAGGTAGTGGTTATCTGTAATACACTTTTTAAAACAATTATGTATATTTGTGACTTCATTGCATATTTACTACTTTTTTTTCTCTCTTCTTGATTATTCTCTATTTTCTCTATTCTGGGTGCTAGAAAAAGGAAAGGTTATCAGATCCTTTTTTTCTTTAATTGTCAACAAATATTTCCTCCTTTCCCTAAATGTGATAATCACTGATGCCTGAAAAATATTGCTAAATGCCTGAACAAACCATATAACAGCTTATTTTAGATGTAGGATCTCAGAAGGAAGAAGAAGGAGGTTAAAAGTATGCTTATGATTCTCTAGCCACCCACCCTCTTCATCCTGGCCACTTGTTTATGTAAAACAGAATGTTGCTGGTGTGAAAAGATTGGTGAATTCCCCCTGAGGATAAGATTTTAACCTGTGTTAGAAGTCATAGTACTTAAATGGAAGTTGTAGCATTAATGTATTTATATTTTGCAAAAAGTACTTTGCTTTCTGTTGCATAGAATTCTTTTTCCTATCTTTTTTACATACCAAAAAACTCATGTCTTTTAATAGATGAATGAAGAAATGCTGTGCCAAGAATTTGGAAGATTTGGACCATTAGCCAGTGTGAAAATTATGTGGCCGAGAACTGATGAAGAAAGAGCAAGAGAGAGAAATTGTGGCTTTGTGGCCTTTATGAATAGAAGAGATGCTGAAAGAGCTTTAAAAAACTTAAATGGTATAAAAGTTTTTATTATCCATTGATGGAGTTCAGGTGGTTCTGAAAAAAGCATTATAAAAACTAGGGAAAATAGAAATGTTTAAAATGAAAATTGATTCAAATCCCAGAAATCATTTATTTATTTCTTGAGAGTTACCAAAGTGACCTTTCTTTTTTTTTTCTCATAGGAAAGATGATTATGTCTTTTGAAATGAAGTTAGGTTGGGGTAAAGCTGTGCCTATTCCTCCACATCCAATATACATTCCGCCTTCAATGATGGAACATACACTTCCCCCACCTCCGTCGGGACTGCCTTTTAATGCGCAGCCTAGAGAGCGGTTAAAAAACCCCAATGCTCCCATGTTACCGCCACCTAAAAACAAGGAGGATTTTGAGAAGGTAATTAAAAAAATGTACATAGGGCCGCATCTAATTTATAAATACTAAATCTGTGGTAGTATTTCTTTTCAACAATTTTATAGAAAATGTGTGTGTAGTTCTGTTTGGCAACTCTTAAAGAATTAAGTAGATGTGTTCCCTGCCTTAGCCCATGGAAATCCTATATTGAAATACTAGGTCATATTTTTGCTTGTGGCTACCATTCCTTTCTGATCACTTATTAAGTTTTTTTTTCCCCCTTTGTCCACTGTTGTACCCAGGTTTGCTTAAGTGCAGTATCTACAAATACTTTGATGTGAGAAAGTGATACTTTGTATTTGGTTAAGTGACTTTTCAATTTAGAAAGATCTCCTAAATAAAACTGTTTGGATGGCAGCTAGCTTAGTTCTCAGGATCTGAGGTTTTTGTAATATTTGAGAGCATGTATGGTTTTTAAAAAACAGTTAACTACTCTAGTAAAGCAAAGGGTGAGTATTTTCTTTTTATTAACATAAAACCAACTTAATTTCCAGTTAAAAGAATTTGTTGGTTCTATTATGAAATATTTACACTTAAAATGACAGGGCTGGTTTTAAAGGCTTGGGAACAAAGTAGAAAATGTATGGTCAGAGGCAAACAGTTAATTAATTTCACAAATTAAAATCTTTATCTGATAATTCTCAGTGTAGTACCTATTTCAGTGCATTGATGTGCATTCTGGCAGGAATGTTCTGATTCTTTGCATTTAGTGAACATTATTGTTCACTGAACACATCCATTTGCATTTATGTAATTGCTTAGTGTTTAATTACTTCAAATGCAGTGATTGCCTGCAAAACTTGTGATTAGATGTGTAGTATTTTCAATGCATATGTATATTTTTGCTTGTTACTTGTTAACAATACTCACATATTCTATGTTTATTATCTGATGTGACTTCATATACAGACTCTGTCGCAAGCCATAGTCAAAGTGGTTATCCCAACAGAAAGGTACATGTTTTTCTTTATTATTACTGATCTAAATATAGACAATATCCCCTTCTGAATTAAAAAAAAATGGTGTTGAGGAAAAGGTAGTATCTTGACTGAGCAATGGTTCTTTCCCAGTATTTTTTGGGGGGATATGTGAAACTTAACTAACCTTAGTATACTTTACAATTTTACGTCATCTTTTTTCATTTTTGCTTGTTACCCAATGTAGGGAATTTTATAGCTTTAATAGTTAGAATGTGTTTAATAGATTTAATCTGGAGTTGTTAGTCTGATAGGTAATGTTAAGACTGTTGTGATAAAAAATAGGTGTATTAAATGTATCTTAAATGTTAAATAATGTTATAATTTGACCCACTCTATTATTTTTTTCCCTTGGTTTCTGAGTTATCTATGTTTATTAACATGCAATCTTATTTTGAGGTCTCCTTACTGAAGGCATAGCTTTTTTTTCTAACTGATTTTAAGAAGGAATTTCTATTATTTTCACGAAGACCAGTACATACCAGAAACTTTTTTCCATAATAAAAAAGGTGTTTGAAATTCTTTTTATTTTCCTTTCTTCCTTTTTTTCTTTTTCAACATAATGGTAAAGCAGAAGAACTCATGCCCTAGGTACACTCTTGCTCAGTCAAGCTAAGCCTTTTCCCAAACACAGGAACACAACACTGGTTGAATAATAAGTAAACACAAAATACCAAATTCTCTTTGACATTGGCCTTGGTGAGCAACACCAGCTGAACTGTCTGCGGCAGCGGGGGACCAGGAAACATCATAGGATGGATTGGGAAAGTATACAGGTTTTGACCAGACATTGGTACGATCGACTCCAGTAAATGTGGTTTTATTGTAACTGAGAGACAATTTTTTTATTGTTATTGTTGCCCAGAATAAGATAATTTGCATTTTAAAATAAAATAATGACACTTTAAAATATATCATGTTTTTGTACTACACTGTTTCATTTTAATAGAAAAGTCACCCACAATACTTAAGGAAAGAGTGTGATTAGAGAGTGTGATTACTTACAGATTCTTTACTAATCTTGAATTCAAGTTAGCAACAACTAATTGTCAGATTTTGATTTTAAATGATCCTATGAAACATTTTAAGACTTCTTTTTTAAACTTAAAATTTTCTAAAATTAGATCTGTCAGTTACAAGCCTGTTTAAAACTATAGTGGGTTTTTCCACTGATAAAGCATTTATAGGAAGGTATTTTTTGTAGCATTCAAAAAGCATATATCCAGTAATAGCTTTACATTTGACTCAGGTTATTTAACAAAATTTTGAGAATACACTTTGCTGAAGTCTTGAGTCACCATTACAATGAATTGTTTGTTTTAAATTTGCTAAACCATTTTTCATCTATCTTTAATACTCAAGTCAAGTTGCTTTTGACTTAATTCATACGAGTTTCTGGATGTATATATCATTTGTCCACCTAGTAATTGATTTTATATATTATATACTTAACATAAAATTTCCCTTTAACTTGACACATTATCAGTGGCACTTTTGAAACAGAATCATAACTTTATACTATCTCCCTTCCTTCAAATAATGTCATTATCTGAGATGCTGAGAATACATTCTCATTTGGATATCAAGGACAAGGACTGCATATTTGCAGAGCAATTAATACTTTTGTGAAAAAAAATATTTTCAGATTTATAACTAAGTGATACTTGTTTTTTTAACAATTTGAGGTTGACTTAATACTTTTTAAATGTATAGTTTCCCCTTTGTTAAAGATGTAAATCTTCATTTTTCTCACTATGTAGAGATTTTAGTGTTCACTTAAGTATGTTTGGAAAATGTGAGAAAATTATAAGGACCACAAAATAAATTATTTTATTGTTCATGTACTCTGAAGCAGAGCATTATAGAGCCATAAAAGTTTGTCTTATTTGGTAATTATATATTTATTTATATTCTAGCAATGATATAAACTTAGTTTGAGCTGGGAATGCTAAAGGTGTAATATAGTGTGTGCCTTGTACAAAGAGCCAATATCCTTTTGCTTTTCCCAACTGTTATTTGCCAACTCTGTTATGCTGGGGGACTGGTGAAATGAGAAATCAAAAGCAGCTTATAATAAGCTGAGTCATTTTTGCTTTATACTGTATACAGTGACTAAAATTATGTTTGGAATCTGCTAAGGTATCACATGATTTTAGGAGCCAGCTTCAGACTTTAAAAATGAATGCTTTTTTATGAGCTCAACCAATAAAACGATTATACTAAAAAGGTAATTCACATATTTTATTTTTGGCTTAAATATTGGAACGTAGTTGTTAGGAAAAATGGGGAGGGCATTTCACCATGTCCCTAATTTTGGAATATTTTAGAAAGAGGATTCCACTCATTTAAGGCTTTGACAATATAGTTGCTTCATTGATTCATAATTCACATGCAGAATTATACATGTCATGAGTTGGGTGAACTAGTTTGATGTGTGGTCCAAAGGGATGTTGCCTCATTAAAGGTCAGATTCAATAAAAACTCCATCTGCTATATCTGTACCAGAAAAGCACAGCAGTTGGATGGATTTTTTTTATTAAATCAGGCCTTAAACTTGTTAAGTAGTTTTGCATTTTTATAAATTACCGTCATGTATATAACATTCAAAACCATCACAAAAGTGCTTGGTTTAGAATATTTTCTTTTAAAACTGAGTTAGTATGTAAAATTTTAGGTGACTGTGGTAACATGTAAGCTTCAAGTTACTGATTTTATACATTTGCAGCTTTCCAGTTAGTTGTGATTCATAATTTAATGTTTTGCATTTGGAAAATAAGATTAAGTGGCATTTAGAAAATTAAATCTTTATTACTGTGAAGCTGTGTTATGGTTTCCCACCTCCCTTCACCTTTCCTGCCCTACCACTTCCCTGTCCCCATTGCCCCACTCCCTCTTAATGCATATGCCATTAACATGCTCCAGGTTACATTTTTGGTATAAAATTCTGTATTAGCAGAATAATCTTCTTCTGCACAACTATAGTAACTTAGGTCAAGTGTAGTTTTATATAGTGGTAGGTCTGAATCCATTTTCTTTAACTGTGTTGTTGTTGTAGGAATTTACTCGCCCTGATACATCGGATGATAGAGTTTGTTGTACGCGAAGGGCCAATGTTTGAAGCTATGATTATGAACAGAGAAATCAATAATCCTATGTTCAGGTGTGCATTTTTTAATTATGAAATGTGCATATAAAATTGACCATTCTTAGCATTTTTACATGTACAGTTCAGTGGCATTAAGTACATTCTCATTGTCATGCAGCCATCACCGCTGTTCATCTACAGAATTTCTCTCATCTTCCATAACTGAACCTTTGTACACTTTAAACGAAAACTCCCCATTCCATTGGTCCCCAGGCTTTGGCAACCACTATTCTACTTTTTGTCTCTCTTAATTTGATTACTGTAGGTACCTCATATAGGTGGACTCAAATATTTGTACTTTTAAGACTGGCTTATTTCACTTAGCATTTTGTCTTCAAGGTTCATGTTGTGGCATGTGGCAGAATTTCAGTATCTTTTAAGGCTGAATAATATTTTATTGCACATATATACCATATTTTATTTATCCTCAGGTGTGCCTTTTAAAAATGCCTTTAACTTATTTTTTATAATTACAAATATTTCCAGGAATAAAGTTCTAAAAGTATATGGGGCTACTTTTGCAATTGGATGAGAAGGCAGTTTTAGTAAAAGTTGAACAGAGTGTATGTGGGTCAGTTTTCCAACTTATTTGGATTTAATTAACATTAACATTCCCTAGGAGGAAAATACTTTATGCGTTTCAGTGAAAGAGTCTGTCATAAGTAAGATACAGAACAAATGAGGTTTATAGGAAATTGCGTATCTTCTGAATAGCTTTGGTATCTAAGACATTCATTTAGCATTCTTAAGCCATTTAAAAGCCACTGCTTTTGAAATTATATCTTGGGAAAATTTCTCCATGGCCAGACACAGTATCAGATAGATAAGAGTTCAGTAAAGTTGATATTAATACTCAGCATAGTGCATACCTAAATTCAGAAATTAATGTCCGTCCCCAAAAACAGTTTAGGGCTGTGGTGAGGAAGAGAATAAATGGCAGTTGGCACTGGGTGAGGATTTCTCTTCAGGGGTCTTTGCTTCTGGTTTTATTTACAACTAAATGGGCAGATAATATTTCTCGTTTCTTTATATTTACTTGAAGATAATTCTTCATTAAAGAATATGGTGCTTAATTTTTGTTTTCTTTTGTTTTAGATTCTTATTTGAAAACCAGACACCAGCCCATGTTTACTATAGGTGGAAGCTTTATTCTATTCTGCAGGCAAGTAAAATCAATTGCTTTGATAATTTTGACTCTGAAGTACTAGGTCTGTGTAATAACATTCTGGACATTGATTAGGGAGATTCTCCAACTAAGTGGCGGACAGAAGATTTTCGCATGTTCAAAAATGGATCTTTTTGGAGGCCACCACCATTAAATCCATACTTGCATGGGATGTCAGAAGAGCAAGAAACAGAAGCTTTTGTAGAGGAGCCTAGTAAAAAGGGAGCACTTAAGGAAGAGTAAGATTTTTTCCTTTCTGCTATATGTTCAGAAGAGTTGCTTTAAATGATTGCTATAATTAGTGGTCTAACTAGATGTTAACCATAAAAGAAATTTTTTATTTTTCACTTGTGAATGTTTAAAATAATGTAACATCTCTTATCATATGCTTTGGAATTTTAAACATTTTGGCAAGTATAAATGTGTGTCCTGTTGACCTTGACCTCTTCCTACTATTAAAAACTAGTAACAATCTCTTTGTGAAGAGGTGATTCTCTAGCCGTGGAATACTTGTGATACAGAAATTAGCTTGGGACTTAACATTCTAGCTCTTTGAATGCAACATGAAGAGGAAGAATTATTGTATGGATTAGTAGGTCAGATGGTCACCTTCACAAAGCCTCTCCACAGTTGGCAGTGTGTGCCTAGCACAGAAGCCTGTGTTATTTGTTAGTCTCAGTCAGGACCAATATAGTGCAGTTAGCCTGGTTTAAGAAGCAGAAATAAATTTAACTATTAAATGTTCAGAGGAAGTTCTTTATACCTCATGGGAAAAAAACTGGCTAAAGGAATTTTTCACATATAAGATTATATACTTCACTGCATAGTCTGTAAACCTTAATACTAGTTATTGTTGTGTTGTTTGTGAGAGCATTTGCTAATGAACAATTACAGTATTTGAGAGTATATTTGCCTCAAGACGTATACTGATTTTTACTTTTGTCCAGGGATCCACAGACTCAGCCCATAGACTAAATCTGGCTGCCTCCTGTTTTTGTAAATAAAGTTTTAATGGAACATGATCATGCCTATTCCTTTACATGCTGTCTGTGGCTGTTTTGGTATCATTGCAGCAGTGTCAAGTAGCTGATAGAAACCATTATGACCTCAAAGCCTCAAATATTTACTGTCTGATTCTTTACAGAAAAGGTTTGTCTCTCTCTGCTTTAGTCTGTTCTAAGCAGAAGTGCTAAAATAATATTTCCTTTGAACTTAAAAGTTCTTTTTCACTGTAATAGGATAATAGGCCTGGGGCACTCTTAAAAGACTCTTGAAAAAAATGCCTGTAATTTTAAATTTACTTCATTTGTAAACAGAAATCACTGCAGTTTATTAGTCCCCAGAAGAGTGTTATTTCCCCATAGCTCTTCAAAAAGAAAAGTAACGTGTTTTGGGAACTTAGCACAAATCAAACTTAACGCAATTTAGTCTTCACAATTTTATCTGAGTGGGTTTTAAAGAAATTAGCTTACGTGCAGAAACTATAATGCCATTTGAAATTTGTATTTATAAATTCTTAAAAGTTAAAAAATTGTATTCAGACAGAGGGACAAATTAGAAGAAATCCTGCGGGGGTTGACTCCAAGGAAAAACGATATTGGGGATGCAATGGTTTTCTGTCTTAATAATGCTGAAGCTGCTGAAGAAATAGTGGATTGCATTACTGAGTCATTGTCCATCTTAAAGACTCCCCTTCCCAAAAAGGTATGAGAGTGATTTCTCTTTATGGAAATTTAAGTAAACGGAAGTAATAGTTGATTTCTTTTTGGATTGAAATTGGTTTTCTTTTGCGTGAAGAACTTGACTGAAGAAAATCTTTCCCAATGCAGTCTTATTTTCTTTCTGCCTGGGAAACTTTACTTGACACAGAAGTTACTAACAGTTTGAAATGTAAATGAGGAATAACAGATTTTATCCCTGCCAAAGTCATAGTTATGGGGATGTTGTATTTCTTTAGATCTTTTAATTAGTTATTATTAAATTATAACTGATTATTAGTCTTATGCCACTGATTCCAAAGAATTTCAATATGGAATTTTTTCTATACATTATTTGCTGTTAGTTTTTTTATTTATTCATATATAATAAATTTATTCAAATATAATAAAAATAACATTATATTTATATGTTATCTTTTGGTGTCCTAGATTGCCAGATTGTATTTGGTTTCTGATGTTTTGTACAACTCTTCAGCCAAAGTTGCCAATGCTTCATATTATAGAAAATTGTAAGTATGGTATAAGCTGATACTCCTAAAATAAAATATAAGGGTAAGGATTTCAGAAAAGAGGATTGTTTTGATAATTAATACCCTCAGTAATAAGAAATAATTTGAATTCCTTCACAGCATGTAAAATATTCTAAAAAATTCAGATTGCATTCATTGAACTAAACCACCTGAAGCTAAATTATCAGTGTTTTTGAAAATTGTTATGTCAGTTTCTTTATTTAACTGTTGATAATACAGCAAATAGGAAGAGTTTAAAAAATCTTTATTTTTATTGCATATTTAGCCACTTATATGATAAACTGAAACAATAGAAGTTATGGCAAACAAAGGAAGAAACCAAAGACAGCATTATTTAAAGGATCTGTGTTCTCTTCTGATCATCACTCTATTAGTTGTAGTTCACTGTGAATGTTTTCTTACATAACAGGAAATTATGTTGCTGTACTGTAGTTAATATATAACTGTTCTTCAGTTCCCTACAATTCCTTTTATTTTTATTTATTTAATTTATTTATTTTTCCTTTCTTTGTGGTTTTTTTATTTAATTATTTATTATTATCATTAATCTACAATTACATGAAGGACATCATGTTTACTAGGCTCTCCCCTACCCCAAGTCCCCCACCACAACCCCATTACAGTCACTGTCCATCAGCATAGGAAGATGTTGTAGAATCACTACTTGTCTTCTGTGTGTTGCACTGCCCTGCCCATGACCCCCTCCCCCTACCATTATACATGCTAATCATAATGCCACCTTTCATCTTCGCTGCCCTTATCCCTCCCTACCCTTCCATTCTCCCCAGTCTCTTTCCCTTTGGTAATTGTTAGTCAATTCTTGGGTTCTGTGATTCTGCTGCTGTTTTGCTCCTTCGGTTTTTCCTTTGTTCTTATACTCCACAGATGAGTGAAATCATTTGGTATTTGTCTTTCTCCGCTTGCCTTATTTCACTGAGCATAATACCCTCTTAGCTCCATCCATGTTGTTGCAAATTGTCGGATTTGTTTTCTTCTTATGGCTGAGTAATAGTCCATTGTGAATATGTACCACATCTTCTTTATCCATTCATCTACTGATGGACACTTAAATTGCTTCCATTTCTAGGCTATTGTAAATAGTGCTGTGATAAACATAGGGGTGCATCTGTCTTTTTCAAACTGGGTTTCTGCATTCTTAGGGTAAATTCCGAGGAGTGGAATTCCTGGGTCAAATGGTATTTCTATTTTGAGTTCCTTGAGGAACCTCCATACTGCTTTCCACAATGGTTGAACTAATTTACATTCCCACCAGCAGTGTAGGAGGGTTCTCCTTTCTCCACATCCTCACCACCATTTGTTGTTGTTTGTCTTTTGGATGGTGGCTATCCTTACTGGTGTGAGGTGATATCTCATTGTGGTTTTAATTTGCATTTCTCTGATAACTAGCGATGTGGAGCATCTTTTCATGTGTCTGTTGGCCATCTGAATTTCTTCTTTGGAGAACTGTCTGTTCAGCTCCTCTGCCCATTTTTTAATTGGATTATTTGCTTTTTGTTTGTTGAGGTGTGTGAGCTCTTTATATATTTTGGATGTCAAGCCTTTAT